CCTATATTGCTAGCTTTTGATGATACCTGTAACCACTTCATTTTCTTCTCACTCAGAAGCAATCCCCTCAATAACACATTCTAGAATTTTGCAAGAATTAGTCTTGCCAGCTTGCAGATTTTGCTTTTTTCTTTTGCTTGAAAATTGGTACATTTACACTTTTCCAATCCAGTAAAACTCTTCATAACCTTTTAGAAACCCACAAGCTTAGCTAGCCCAACAGTCATATTAGCCAGTTCTTTCAGTATCCTCACATTTATTTCCTCTAGCTTCATGATTTAGCTCAGGCCTGCACCTGGGCCAGCCAAAAGATTTCAGGAGGCCAGTGAAAAATGTAGAGGAAAGCATCCTTTGTTTGTAGAGGAAATCTTTTGGCATGCCTTAAGCAGTGCAGGTTGTGCTTAAATGTGGGTAGGCAAGGATTTTCTTACAAGTCTTCCCTTTCATCTTCTTGGTAATTGTCTTAATCTGTTCTTCCCAGTCCCAAAATCATTCTGCTTGGAACAGAAAACAAAAGCAAAATGTAAGTCAAGTAATTTGGCCTTTTCAGTGTGCTCAGTTTTATCATCCCATCTATTGCAAGCATGAGTTCTATCAGTACTCATCATTTCCTTCACTTGTTGAAAAACTGAATTATCATTGGTAGAAGTTAGTAATTTCTCAGCTGCTCTGGTTTTGGCAAAGAAGGATCTATAGCAGATATCTATAGGGTTGAAGTCATGCCTTCATGCCAGGTTTGTAATAAATTTTCCAAAATCCTAATCTTTTTCCTCCTTTGCCATAAGTAGTTTGTGGTGTACTTCCACAACAATATTGCTTCTATTTCTTCTTCCATAGATTCCCACCCAAAAGTTTTAAGAAAAGTATATCAATAAGAGATTTGGAGATGGTGCATTTTAATATTTTTGAAACAGCCTGCACAAATAATGCACAGTAGAAAGAATCAGGGAATAGACAATAGTCATTTTGCCTTAAATGTAGACTATAGTGCAAAGGAGAAAAGTGAAGTAAGACTGGAAAGGTAAGTTGGAGGCAGATCATAGATCTCTTTAAATATTAAGCTAAGGGAAATTTCCTCTATAGCCACCCCCAGATCCACAGATTATCATATGGCTTCAACTGGTACACTTCAGAGGGTGAGCTCTGTACCCCAAGATAGTAAGTAATTCATAAGTGTCACCTCTTCCCTCTGTGTTTTGAGTGGGTCAGGCAGAATCAGCAACCATGGGTCTTTTGTGATCTGCATCTATAGAAATCTATTATATTAAACTTCCCTTGCAAATCTACCCATGTTCCCTGTTACTGGACAAGGCCTAGTCACCTAGTTTCATAACATCAGTAGCCTTTTTCAACTCATTCCCCCTCACCTCACACATTTGGTCAGTTATCAGATTTCATAATTTCTACCTCTGCAGTATCCTTTTTATCTATTCTTTTTTCTCTACTCATGTGGCTACAATTCTGCTTAAGGTCCTCATTACCCTTTCCCCAGACTTTTGCAATAGCTTCCTAATTTGTCTCCCAGTCTGAAGTTTCTTCCTCCTCTGATCCATCTTCCATACCACTGCCAAAGTGATTTTCCCAAGGCACAAATTTGGCCTTGTTACTCCCCTTCTTGATAAATTCCAGTGGTTCCCTATTGACTATAAGATAAAATATTATTTTCAGATTTATCTCATACTTTTAAAATTAAATAAGGAAACATATTAAGGATCATTTGCACTTTTTTTTTTACTTTTGGGGTACATGATCAGAAAAACTTGGAGATTTTTGCTTTAAACAGTCAACTTTAAAATTAACTTGGAAACACACCCCTTTCATGAGTTGAGAACATATACATATATATATGTATGTATATATATATACTATATACATATATATGTGTATAAACATATATACATGTACATATCTACATATATATATACATATATATTTCTGGAGGGTTTTTTTTTAATTGCCCTTTCCATCACAGGGAAAGGGTATAGGTAGTTCATATATGCTTACATGTATTTATGAAGGAACTATCTAAACTGACCTGTCTGTGGGGACCAGAGAAGAACATTTGCTCTTCTTTGGCTTTTTTTATTTAGTGGGCACAAAGAAAGGAAAGGACAATATTTGTTTCTAAGAGTTAAGGTTGAACAGCATTTGTTTTAGCGTCCAACAAGATAATTTTTAGTGAACTGCTGTAGGAGATAAGGAGTCCCAGTAGACATTATGACAGATTATCGTTTCTTGGTAGGCAGAAGTAGTAAGAGTACAATTTGATAATCGTTTATCTACCATTGATACTACAAAGCTTGACTGTGAAACATCTGATTGAATGATTTTTGGGGGGATAATAGGGTTCATGTTGGTTGATGGGGGATGGGGTGTTAGTAACTAGGGCATAAAAATGAAAATACAGGAAAGGGGCATAATAGAGTAATATGTGGGGACTGTACTACTTTATAATGCAAACATTTGTTAAGCACCACGTTGTGCTAGCTGCTGGGGAATACAAAGACAAAAAAGAAATCAGGGAAACAACAGATATATTTATATGCCAAGTATGTGGTATATGTATATATTTACATACCAAATAAATACATGGTAATGGGGAGGTACTAATAGCCAGGGAGTTGAAGAAAATACTCATGTAGAAGTATCAACTTCTGTACGGTTGTAAGCTTCATCTGGAAAGGACTTGGTCTTATGTAAACTTTACGTGTCTGGTAATGCAGTGTTCTGCATACAGTAAGCACTTCTTGTTGTTTAGTCACGTCTGACTCTTCCTGACCCCATTTTGGGATTTTCCTGGCAAAGATACTGGAGTAGTTTGCCGTTTCCTTTTCCAGCTTATTTTACAAATGAGAAAACCGAGGGAAACAGAGTTATAAATGACTTGCCCAAGGTCACACAGCTAATAAGTAAGTGTCTGAGCTCCAAGTTGAATTCTAGTATTCCTGACTCCAGACACAGCACTCTATGCACGAGTAGCACCTCTCTACTCAGAGCATTTTATGCCTATTATGTGTTAGGCTCTTTGCTAAGTGCTGGGACTACAAATACAGGATAACAAGATAGTTTTTACTTTCAGGACCTTACATTATAATAGGGGAAGACAAAACATAAAGGGGAGTTTTAAAGAGAAGAGCAGACCTCAAGATGACACATCTTGAGGTGGCCAATGCAGTTGGTGGTTGGTGAGACAGATGATGAATGAATGAATGTCTTACAAAGTCACAGAAATAATAATAGCACTTATATAGCACTTTAGGATTTGCAAAGCCCTTTATGGATATAGTTTCACCACCCTAGATTTCCAAAGTTTGTGCTGACAAAAGCCCCTGGGAGCTAGAAAGTTTGGCAGTACAACTTCAGCAGTGACTTTGTATGACTCTTATTTGGAGCCAGCCAGATTAGAATGTCCCATCACCAGATCTTAGGTGCAAATAAAGATTCTAGAAAGATATAGGAGAGTTGAGCTATATCAGTTGAGGAGTGGGGACGCATGATGAAATCATAAGTCTTTGAAATTTGGAAAGATAGAGTACTAGACTTCAAGTCAAAAAGGCATGGGTTCAAATCCTGCTCCTTATATTTGCTTATTTGTATGACCGTGGGTGACTCATGTAAACACTGAATTTTGGTTTGCTTGTCTTTAAAATAGAGGTGACACTTATAGTGTAGTATTGTCATGAGGCTTAAAGGAGATGTCTGTTAAGGTGGTTTCCAAACTTGAAAGTATTTATGTAAATGTCATTTTTATCATAGTACTTTACCTAGAAAAGAAAAAAATCTAAGTGATTTAGTCATCCTATATTGGCTAAGATAGTAAAGTAGGTGAGAACTGGTAGTTATTACTGAGATTTTGCTCTCTTGACATATTTTTAGAGAATTAGAAGAAAAGAACTTGTATGTAGAGTATCCAGGGCCCAGTCACCATACACGGATATCAATGTGAAAAGTGATGGTTAGACCCCATAGATATTTTAAAGAAATTATTTGTCCTAGAGAAAAGGGTAACCTAAAGGATGAGTGTCAACTATGGTCTTGCTTACATTCTTCTTCTTTTTTTTTTTTGGCTAGACAGCGGGGGGTAAGTGACTTGCCCGGGGTCACACAGCTAGTAAGTGTTATGTGTCTGAGGCCAGATTTGAACTCAGGTCCTCCTGAATCCAGGGCCAGTGCTCTATCCACTGTGCCTCCTAGCTGTCCTTGCTTACATTTTTCTTAAAACTTCTTAGTACTTGCAAAATTTGAAAGTCTAATTGGGAAAGAATTAGGTGATCATAATAATGAAAGACATAAATTTGGGCTTCATCTCCAGAGGGTTAGATTGTAAATTCCTAAAAATCATTGCCTTGTCATCTTTATTTTTCTTGGAATCTGACGTTGTCTGTCATGAATATTGCACGAAATAATTAATACCCATTCACCCCTTGAATATGTCTTAACATTAGAAAACTGTATAAAATGAGAGGCTAGGTGGCAGGATTAGGCAAACTCAGGACCTCTGACTCCTTGAGCCTCAGTTTCCTCATTTATAAAATTGGGTTAATAATCCCTGACTCGTTGTGTTGTTAGGCTCAAATGAGATAATTTATGGAAAGCACTTTGCAAACATTAAAGAGCTACACAAATGTCAGTTATTATTTTGATAGTATGCAAGTATAAACGGTATAGAGGAGAGGAATACTTAGCCAGGGGTATGCAGATCCTCAAGGAGGCAGCCCATAGAGATTCCAGAGGATCAGTGAACTGGGATGGGGAAAAAAATTACATCTTTATTTTCCACTAACCTTTGGTTTCCTTTGTTATCTTATGTGCTTTATACGTTTATTCATAACATTTTTCTGAGTTGGTGTCTGTAGACATCACCAGAGAGCCAAAGAGGTCTGTGGTCCCCCCAAAAGTGAAAAAGCCCCTGGTAAAGAGGTGGCATTTTTCCATCTATGATTATATAACAGTTGCTAATCTATTTGTTTTTCAAGACTTCTTCTTTTTTCCCTCTCCAGGAAGGCAATAGAAGAACTTCTCAAGGAAGCTAAACGGGGGAAAACCCGAGCAGAGACAATGGGGCCAATGGGGTGGTAAGTTCACATATAATAATCCTTAGTATTGCAACATTAAAAGAGTATGTAATATTTTAGAGTTTAATAGTTCTTTCTATTGGAGCCTCTCGAAGAGGCAAATGCTAAAAGGTACTTTCATGAGAGATATATTAAATCTGTCACAATCAAAGTTTCTATTTTGATGCTCGTCCTAAGTAAATGAAAGTGTCTTTGCATCTTAGCGCAGTAATTAATTCTGATTTCACCGATTCAGAATTTGAAATAACGCAGACATTTTAGAGACTAAGGTTTACTTTTGTACTGTCTATGGGGAGCCTTAGCTTGGTCCCCGCTTCTGTTCAACAATCATTTATCTCTATCTTTAGCTCATTCCCTGTAGTGACTGTTCCATATCTCTTCTTAAATCCTGTCCCCTATACTTAATAACAGCTTACTATTCTACTGGACTGAGAATAACAGCAGCCAGCATAAATTCCCCACAGTTACCTTCACTTCTCAAAACTTCTCTGACTTTATCCATTCCCTCCATGGCCACACATGAAGAGGTATCCTTACTCTTCACTAACACTGAGCCCTCCACTGATACCTTTAATCCCATTCTATCCTGCCTCTGGGTCCTACAGTCATTTCCTCGCTTGCATTTTCAACTTCTCACTTTCCAGTGACTCCTTCCTATTTGAAACAATCTCCCAAATCCTAAAAAAAAGCTTCCTGTGACCCTTCTACCTCATATGATTGCTGTCCCGTTTTTCTCTGTACTGCTAAATGTTCTCTATACCCAATATCCCTACACTCCCTGAGGCAATGTAATGTAATGGAAAGAATTTTACATGGGGATTAACTAAATGTTTTTCCTTGATGGAAACATTAAACACACAATCAGTCTTGTGATAATATATCTAATCAATTTTATAATAGAGGTACACGTAGGTACATAACTGGGTGTTTCATATATAATAAATAAGTTGAAAATTGATTGTTTTCTTACTGATTCTCAGGTTTTGAAAAAGGAGGTAAGAAAAGAACTAAAAATTAAAGAGTATTCCGAATGTTACCTCTGCCCAGAAACTTTCCCTGATTTTTGACCCTCAGGTTCTAGTTGCTAACAGTTGCCTTACTTTTTAGCCCTCACATAATACTTTTTCCTTTTGCAACTCTCAGTGTTTCATCATTTGATAATGATAAATATTATCATTATGGCTCCATAAGGACAGAAATTCTTTCCTAAACTTTTTCTCTTCCTCAGCTCCTAATACTGTGCTCTATACACAATAGGCATATAATCAGTGTTTGATGAATGATATATAGGCTGTCTACATCATAGAAACTGATGTACCTTTAGTGAGAATGTTCATTTAGGGGAAGCAGGACTGAGAAAGGAATGGGACTTACCTGAGATTCTTCTATTCGCTAGTAGTCAGTGCTTGACAGTCTCTGGTCAGAATGTCAAGGGTCATCGGGTAAGTTGGCATCATATCTGATAGGAGTAGACTAGCACTGGGTCAGGGATCAGAGGTTAATCAGTTGACAAGCTGGTCAGGAAATAGTTTCTGAAGGAGGCTGATACATAGGAAGAACACCTGCTTTTCCAAAGACCAGCTAACTGATGCCACCTGTTTTTACCACTTCTCAGCTGTTTATTTGGCTGTTTTCTGAGAGAGAAACTTTTGGTTTCAAAGGGTTAAGTACAGAAGTTACAATTTTCCTGTGAAAACCACATCTTTGGCCACATTTAAGACATGACTGTCCTGGCATGAAACTATCAGCTGCTGAGGTAAAACATCCTAAATTCAGTGAGACCAATCCTACTTTCTAAGTCTTCATCCTCTGAGAGGGAGGTCATCCTGACACCATTGAGTTCTTGTTTTGTTTGGGTGGGGAAGAAGAACATTTGCTTATAGGTTATTTGCTTGGTTTAAACTTTCACATAGAAAATAGTTTGCAAATGGAGTCTAGATTACTACACCAGGCCACAAATACCTGTTTAGTTCATGATGTGCCAGAAATATAATAATAGTATTTCATCTGGGCCTAGCCATCATTTATAACAGTGTTTCTATTTTTAAACGTTTTCCAAATTCCAACTTGGAACCAAAGAAGCATATTCTCCTAATGGAAGCATAGTTCATTTCTAAATACCACTAAGGACTTGAGGCTATGTATCTGCAGAAAGGTCTTGGGAACAGGAAGCTACTCTTAGAAAGTTAGAACCAATAATATAATAACTCATTCTGTCTAGAGAGAGCACTTCTCTGATGCCTAGGGATTCTGAGTTTGAGAACAAAAAGGTCTCATGATATGGAGACTCCAGGCTTATACTTCCACTTAGAAGTATAGGTGGATTCTTTTTTTGGGGGGGGGGCTAGAAGAGTGAGGGGCTGAGATGTATATAATGGTGGGGAAGGAAAAAGAGTGATTAGGATGGAACCATGGGTGTAAAACAGAAGTTGTCTGGTTATTTCCCCTTCCCCCAAAGTAACAGAACCATGGCCCCTTCACCTGAGGAAGTTGGGGGATAATCTTCTTGAAGAGCAGAATGATAGATCTATTTTCATGATTTCTGGAAATATCTGAGGTATTAGGGGGAAGGAGGGGAAGGTGTCAACTAGGGTTTTGAACAGATTTCCAGTATGTATGTAAATCCTTCATGGTGCTGTGTCATGTACTACAAGTAGCGCATGCTTTTTTGGAGAAGAAGAACAGGGCCGCTTTTGTCTGAAAAGGTCCTGGGCTGCACCTAAACCCAGAACCAGCCATGAACCAGCTCCCTCTGTCACGTAAGGTACCATCCCTGCCCAACCCTCACCACCCTTCATTAGCCTCCCAAGGGAAAGAAAGGACCCAGATCCAGCCCAGTTCTCTCTGCATCATCCTTTGGGAACTGAGCTTCTCTCCCCATCAGCCACCCAACTGTTACCTCTGTGAATTCTCCTGTTTCACTCCCTAGACCTGTAATAATTAATCAGCAGTGATTTAGGAGAAGACAGTTCCCTGCCCCCTCCTCATATTCTCTTATACTCCTACACCCAATCCAACCTATGTCTCAATCCAACACTGTCCATTCTTTCCACTGTGTCTTCTGGAATTTTTATTCCATGGTAAATAAACATCCCTTCATCCTGGAACTGTTTTTCTCCAGTCTTCATTTTTTATTCTTCGTAGAGATCTGGCATGCCTTCTGATGACAATGCATCCTGGCTATCTTCTCCAAAACTAACTGTACCTTCTCTCACACTGGCCCAGGAAGGGGGATAGAGAGTCCAAATAATCCTCTCTCTGTTGTCACTTCCACACTCTCCATTTGGCTCCTTCACTCAGTAATCTTTCCTCTTTTGAAATCCACACATTTAAAATTTTCCCCCCAGTCAAAGTTATGTTAGGTAAACTATAATATACCAACCCCCATCTCATTCTCCCTTCTTTCTCACCATCTTCCTCTGCTCACCACTACCTGCCTTTATGCTGTGGAGCTTGAGTATTCATTTAGATGCTCCTATTTCCTCTGCCTCCTTAAGTCCCATGACCTACTCCTTTGCACTACTTCAGCCACACAGAGAGGTGGTCGCTTATTAGATCTCACTATTACCCACAAATGTTCCACTTTTCTAATTAGAAGCTCTGTGCCTATCATTCTATCCCTTCTTAGGCTTCACCTCTCCTGTACTTGGTCTTTGTCCTCATTGAGACCTCTGTTCTCCTTTGTACTTTCTCAAACCTTGCTCCAAGTTCACTCTCCTCCCTCTCTAGCCTCAACCTAATGGTAGAGTCTTCCAAACGTGTATTGGTCTGATCAGCCACATTTGGGCGTACTGTACCTTGACCTTGACCCTGACATAGTGATGTCATTTTGGTCCTATTTGGGTACAAAGGACAACCACCAACTAAGCAATTAATTCTTTACCACAGAAGCTGTTCCAACCCTTTTCTTCCCTCCTCAAGTACTGCATAACTCTTCTGAGAGGTAACTAGATAGCCCATGAGTAGAATCCTGGACAAGGCATCAGGGACATGAGTTCAAATCCTACCCCACTTACTAGATATGTGACCTTAGGCCTTAGTTTCCTCATCTGTAAGATGGGGATGATAATAGCACCTACCTCCCAGTGTTGTTGTCAAAGTAAAATGAGGTATTTGTAGAGTGTTTTACAATTATTATTGTTCTTATCACCTCATATCTCTTAGCTGAGTACCTTGCGTCTTTATGGAAAAAAAAAATTAAGGCCATTTGTTAAGAGCTCCCTGTACTCTCATTCTTTTTATCCCAGAACCCATTGGCATCATGTCTCACCCTCTCCTCCTTCCTCTGTCTCTGATAAAGATGTGGCCCTTCACCTTACTATGAACAAACTCCTCTACATGTGTACTTAATTTCATTCCCTTCCATCTTTTCCAGGACATTGCAGCCTCAATTATCTTCCCTTCCCTGCTGATCTTCAGCTTCTCTCTGTCATCTTAATCCTTCCTGTCTTTAGACATGGCCAAGTTTCCTTATCCTTAAAAAGCCTTCACTAGGCCTTACTATTCCCTCAAACTGTCAGCCTATATCTCTCCTTTCTTTGTCAGCCAAACTCTTTGAAAAACTGTTTACAGGAGGGCAGAGCCAAGATGGCGGAGTGAAAGCAGTGACTTGCTTGAGCTGTCCCCGAAACTCCTCCAAATATCTATAAAACAATGGCTCTAAACAAATTCTAAAGCAGCAGAACCCACAAAAAGACAGAGTGAGACAAATTTCCAACCCAAGGTAACCTGGCTGGTTGATCAGAAAAGTATATCGCACCGGGCTGGAAGAGGAGCGCGGCTCGGCATCGGTGCGCAGGTCACGGCGAACCTGGAGCAGGCCTCAGAGGACTGAATCATGGGCAGCAGTGGCAGTTTCCAGACTTCTCAACCCATGAAGGCCAAAGACAACTTAGAAGGTCAGTGGGGAAAAGTCTATTTCTGCAGTGCTGAGAGAGAAATGCAGGGTCCCAGCCCCATTCCCCAGGCTTGGCCTTGGGGCAGCGGCTGCCTCCTGAGCT